TTGATCACTTATTCCTCCTCCTCCTCCTTCTCCCTTCCTCTCCAAAAGACGAAAATACGAGGATGGTGGTCGTGAATCTCCGGGATAACAAATTGCTCCCGAGAGATAACCGCCGAGATACACCTGGCATCATTAACCTAGTTCCCCGTTGACTTCCGCGTCATCATCTTCTTCATTGGACACTGTCACCCCGGTGTACGAGTATCCATACATAGGTCTCTCTCTCTTTTGAGTGATTCATGAGCCAAAAACGAGCATCCGTCCACGCGCCCTTTCATTAGAGGCGCTGATATTTTTTAATTTTTTTTTTGTTTGCTGTCTGTCTTTTTTCTCAGTGCGTGGGACATGCCTTCTGTCTCTTGCGAGTGACGGAGAGATGTAGGGCCAACCTTGCTTTGGTACTCTGCCAGTATTTTGGCATGGAACTTCGTCATCCTCTGACTCGAGTGTGGGGGCACACTCGTAATTCAAGGCTTTGCCTTATTTCACTCCCCCACGAGGAAGTGCACTTTTTTTGTGGGAAAGAGGGGAATGGATCTCCGGTCTTGGTATAATCGGATCTCGTGTAGTAGGAAAAGGGAGATTTTTCCGGCGCAAATTGGAAGCCTGGGACTCTCTGCACCCGGAGGTTCCCCATGATCGACGGGCGAGTCTGGGAGCAGGGGCAGACACACAGACATGACCGTAGCGTCGCAGTATGAAATCACGGGGATTATTCCGTCATCCTTTGTCCCTCAACTTCCCATGAATCTCAAAGTTCATTTGCATCCTCTCCCCCTCGTTAACGGGCTCGTCAGCATGCCGGAGTTTCTATCGATCGGCTCGCGTAATTTTGCCTTCGAAACAACACAGCCTGCCGAGAGACCGATGAATCTTACATGAAGATTCATATGTCGGATGCTAGGCTTGAAGACCGATTGAAAAGCGAAGAAAAATCTGCGTTGGCTCCTAAACGGGTTTCCAATTTGCTGAAACTCAGTTGAGAGGAAAAGAAAAAGAGGAAAGAAGTTATAGGGGAAGTTATGTGAGGAGAAAACGAAGAAGGACTGGGGGTGTTGATACGGCGAGTAAATAGGGAATCTCATTTCTTTACTCCTCAAGGACACTCTACGAGTTGTTTTCCACGCTCTCATTTGCCTCCATCGACCGGGATTTTTTCTCCCCCCCTTCGGTCTTCGGATTATCCTTGGACTTCTTCCTCTCTTCAAGTTTTCGTGTGGGTAGTGTGGAAGGAGGATCAGTATCATCACAAAGATGGTGCATAGGCTCGTCTTCCTGAGTCACTGTGTCAATATAGTGTATAGTACTGCCATTGCTTACTTTGTGGCTTAGACGCGGCGGCTCAGCTTTTTAAGCTGATTTAAAACACGATTGAACTTTTTTATATTCCTTCCAGGATGATTTTCCCCGCATTTTATGCTGTGGACTAAATTAGAAGATGCGACTTGATCTCCTTTTGTTCTAGTTTCCGTTGTGGTATTTTAATAGAATAACCCATTAAGGGAAAGGATGGGACCTTGTATGGAAGTCGCGTCATGCGTTTGGAATTTTGGACCTTTTCCACACCTCCGTCCAAGACGCCCTCGGAGAAGGGCAGAGGTGAACGGTCCCTTCTTTCCTTCTACTTCCCTCCATTTTATTTATCCAAACAGATCTGTTATGCATGAAGGAGAGATATTATGCAAGGCTTCCGTTCCCCCCTTTCCTCAGTCTCTTGATTTATTCCATGCACGATGTCCAGCCATTTCATTAAAAAAAAAAAGAGAGAGGGAGAAGTTCCCTTGCTTCTGCTCTACATCATCTTTGGGTGCAGGTGGCTTCAATGAGATGAGCTAGAGAAAGAACAGATCGATGGCAAGATATAGACGCTTCTCCCTCTCTCCTTCGGGCTTCTCTCGATACTTCCGAGTGAGCTGGGATTTACTCTCCCTTCCCGGAGGTCTTCACCTTTACCCCCATCTGCGTTCTCAATGAAGATGTATTCGCGCTGTCTTCATGTGGGCCTGTCGTGCTCCTCTTGCGAAGGAGAATCAATCTTCTTGTAGTGTGGACTTCATGCATCGTACAGAAAGGCCGTAGTTCTGCCGCGTGGGAGGAATGTTTTTTTTTTTCTAGGCCATATTTTTCTGAAGGAACGCGACATGTCCTTTCTCGACTCCGCCACATTCTCTGATGTCGCGCAGTTTCCGTCCTTGGTGAGCCATGAATTATTAGGCTTCTCGATCTCCGGGTTCTCTTCGCTGAGTGGAGTTCTCGGAAAAGCCCTATTTACGACTGTGAGTCGGATTTCTATCTCTAAAAGGTTTCGGAGATGCATTTCACCAAGAGACTTGGTTGAAGAGACGTTTGCTTTTATGGTCAACCCGGATTCGCACTTTTTAATATTTATTTTGCATCCATTCCAGAAATTGAAAAGTGGATTTTGTGTGTTCTGTCTGGATGTGATGGCGCAGGACCCAACATATGTATCCACTCTTTCAGTAATACTGAGAGTCGTGCACCTAGCGATACGAGTTATCGGATGACTAAGTCCTTTCCAATGTCTTGGGACATTGCGAGAGAGAGTGTAATCTTTCCCCGGGTGCCTCTCGTGCAGAAAAGAGGGGGAAAAGAAGAAAAGGGGAGAAAAGAGGACGGATGGCCCAAGGGATGGCACACATAGATGCGATCCGGATGCGTCTCGAGTACAGACAGTATATTATATGAAGGAGGAGGAGGAGAGGGAATTTTCTTCAAGGAGAATCGATCTTCCTCCTGGCTTCCTCACAAAGATCCTCCTGTCACTCCTGGCCCAGTTTCTTTCCCCCCTCCCTGCCATATACTCTGTTGGCCTTCCCCTTTCTCCTTTTATATCCCCCCTCGTCCCCTTTTCCCCCCTCTTCTCCCCTTTGACCTGGAATGAGTACCATTTGGAAGGGGGAGCAGCAGTTGAACTCTCTCCCCCGAAACGCGGGTAGACGTTGTCACCTCGTAAAAGGGCTTGATTTAGGGTGTTCTCTTGGCCGAAATTGCTGGCTTGGGAATTCCCCCCGCTACATAATATATGTGGTGCTGCTTTCATGCACATAGCATCGTCGATACGGTTTGCCTCTCTCTCACCACTTCCAACGGATATATTTCCTGAAAGAAGTCGTTTTCTCTGACAATCACGGGCTCCATGCATGCCATCGCATTTGTCTCTTCCAGTACCAGATGTGCACGAGGATTACCAACTGCTCATCCATCTTCCTTTTTTTTTTCTTTTTGCCTTTCATAAGACAGGAGGGAGGTCGTGCATGAGCGAGGGCGCACGGGGATTACTCTGAAGTTCTGTGTCTTCTCATTAAAGACTCCTGCTTCTCTTCAATTCTCGACGGGGTTCGTCCTCGAGATGCCTTTCCTTGGGGTCTTTTTTCCCCTGGGGAACGGAATGATACTCCTTCCTTTTCATCTTTCATCATTCCGGTTGTGTCATATCCGGAAACTTCGTCATTCCTTGCTCTTTTCGCCTTTCTCCCAAGCCTTTTGTTTTTGGGAGCCGGAAGTTTCCACTTGTTGGGCATGCAAGGCATTATGACGTGGACTCATCCTTGACGAACTCCGGAAATGTATGTACATCATCGGCTTTTCTCTCTCTTCTACCTCCTCTTTTCTGAACACGTCAGTGTTGACGAGGAAATAATTGACCGGCTTTTCTCCATCTCCGAAGAAGGGCAAATGTTTTCCGAAGAGGCGCGAGAAGCCGAGTAATGAGCTGCCTGCCTTCCCCACTTCCTTTTGTCTTTACAGAAACAGGGTGAAGAAGATAGAGAAAGGAAGGCACATGGCTTTTTTTTTCCCCCTCCCTTCCGCTCCTCGATGGAGGCTGAGGCGAGAGTGAAAGGTCTTCGATTTCCATTCTTTTCTCCTCTCGTGTCTGTCTGCGGAGGACCAGCTTTGTCTGTCTTCGCTCGGTGTTGCGAAGGAAACCCAATCCGAGGCCGCCTTTTTTTTATATTCCAAATGGATCGTCCTCACTAGGGAGGGTATGTGGAATGCGACAGAGAGACCGCAGCTTCCGGATTCTCGCGACGTCTCCTCGGCATTATCGCCGGGTGTCGAATTATTTTTATTCTTCTTACTTCTCGTATTTCCTCTGCTTCTGAGATGAGAATCGTCTGTCTCCGTGCCAGTGCTGTCGCAAAAATGAAAGACAGTCTCAGCGAAATCCACCGTGGACACACATTGGATATCTCAATCACCCCTAAGGTGATTGAGATATCCAATGTGTGTCCGGGGATGGAAAGGGGGAAAAGGGGGGTAAAGGATGATAAAATTCTTTCAGCCGCCTTCGGATGACACTTTCATGTCAGTGTCACTCGCCATTTCCTCTATGAAAATATTTGATGAGGAGGCTCAAGTCTGGAGTTGTTTGTGAGTCATGGTATGAGAGTAGGGACTACCGACGAGCGAGGAGGAAAAGGGAAAATAATGAGGGAAAAAAGCAGGATTACTCCTGCATGAGCACCAGATGCGTCATGAAATAGAATGGGATGGAATGGAATGGAATGGAATCCAGGAAAAAAGAAATTGAATCTCCCCCATATTCCGACCATGTGCGTCACATCACCTGCCCATATCCGTAATCTTTGAGCACAGCGGGGATTCCCATCCATTTCCCTCTTTCCCTGGAAGGCTTTCGATTCGATACGTTTCACACTTCATCAAAATAGAAGGGTATGCAGAACCTTCGATAAGACGGTAATGACATGAGCCAAGTTTTATCAGATGGGGCTCATAGCACGGAGAAGAAGAGAGAGAAAGAGCGAGCGCTTCATGTGTCTGCGCTCACGAAATAATGAGAGGGATGAGGGCACCCAGAGTTGAATGGATCGGGGCGAAGGCTCTCCCATCGTATGTGTATCCTCTCTTCTTTTCCTCTCTCGCTCTCTCTCGTCCTCTCGTTCCCTTGACCGTGTGCCAAAAAATGGTTCCTTCGTCACGATGGAGTGTGCGTAGAAGGAACAAGGCGAATGGGAAGAATGGGTGGGTGGTTGGGTGGATGGTTGGTCCGGGTCCTCCCGTCCCTCCCTTTGGTTCTCTGGTCTCTCTCAGTTCGTGCCTTCTCTTCCTCCCATGCCGACTTCTCTCTCTGTCTCTACGGGGGGGATGGGTGTTACTTTCATCTCAGCAGTCATGCCTTGGAATTCCCGCTTCCAGGGCATGTTCACTCTGACCGGTATGTATTTGTGGGGGGGATACTTCTGCGTTTCCGTCCCGTCACCTGTTTTCTTCCCCCTCTAAAACCGATTAAGTTGTCGGGGATAGATGGATTTGTCCGTGGGGAAGCCATACTTTTTGTCATGCTTTGTCTTGTACTTGATATTGACAGCTTTCGTAATCATGACCTTCATTTTCTTCCTCGTAGGTACTTCCACAAGATCGTGTAAATGAACATCCCAAGATCCGAATTGTGCCGACATGGCTACTTTGAAACCGGTTAGTGAAAACCTTTCACGATTGTTTTGTACAGGGTGGCGCACGAAAAACCGGCCCGCCTCGTAGGCCATCGTGGGCGTAGGTCTCGGACTCCGTACAGGAAATTAAACAAATGCAAATGCAAAGATCTGTACTTACCGGTTAGAGAAGGTGCTGAAAATGATCTTGTGCGTCAATGCACTTTTGTGCACGCCGCAGCATATTGTCATACACGCGATGCAACTGAATTTGTCTGTGTACACGCTCGTGGTAGGCGGTCGGAGACGGGCCGGTTTTTCGTGCGCTACCCTGTATTAGCAAATTGACTATCAAAGAGAATAATTTAGGCTTCTTTTCACATGTTTTCGTTTTTTGAAAATCGATAGTGTTCTGGGCGGGAAGTAGCTGTACTAAGAACCCTTTTCTTCTTCCAGGAATTGCAGAGTTCCGAGATATCTGGGATTCGCAATCCTCTTCAGGTGCCCTTCATTGGAGTGAGCAGCCCTGAAATCCTGCTTTTCACCGACACAGTGACTGTTTCTCACAGTGTGTCGGACATCTCAAATGTCCGAGTGACGTTGCAGCAGACTTCCCATAATGACTCCAAAACGCACAAAGGTACCCACAATGATGGAGGAAGTGCTGTCGCTCTCTTCAGTTCTTCGGAGGAGAACAGAAAGCCGAATCCCAGTTTGTTGCAGGCAAACTTTGGGAGCATAATTACAAAACCTTGCACGTCTGTAACCTCTTCTAGTCAGGCTGATTTCTTCATTCTCCCTGATGTGCCATCTTCATGTTCTTCGTCTTCGTCCCACCCAAAGCTTTCCCCGAGTCCCGCAGAGAAGCTCAGATTCACCTCCGAGGATCCTAGTGTTGTGATCACAAGCTCAAATGTGCCAAACATCTCCTCTCAGTCTTCTGTGATTGCCTCCTTATTGGAAGGTAGTATCCTTGACCCGGTCAGTAGCGAAGCCAAAATTCACATTACCAAATACCCCGTGGACCCAGCCAAGATGGTGAAACTGGAACGACAATCATCGACCGATCTGCCCGTCGTCACGAGTGGCAGCAGCATAGCCATTTCCATCGCGAAGCCTCATAAAATAACGGAACGGATGGACACGCTTCCACCGGTTCATAAAACCTTCACTTCATCCAATGTCGACTCGTTAAATTTGCATTTCGAGCCGGCGCTGAGTGCTGTCCAGACTCCTCCCGACACAACTTCCAGTGTCGGTGAGAAATCTTTGTTGACGCCGACGAGTAGCATTGACAGTGAAGGAGGGTTCTTCCTCAGCCCAGATGTGACTGTACCAACTCCACCTGAATCTGTGTTTGGAGACGACTTGGCATCTACAAGTGGTAAGTCCTTGGCTCTGTTTTCAGTCGACGGGATGATTTAATTCAATGTGGGGATTTTTTTCTTGAGAACTTTCTCAATTTGCATATCAAGGATTTTCTTAATGTTCTCATTTTCTATTCCTTTGTTCAGATTACTCTTTGCTTACAAACCTTGACTGCATATGAAATGAATATGACATCCCCAGGGGAATTAAACTTTTTTTTCTCCATTAGGGAGTCATTCTTCATCAGCTTTATCCCAAACATGGGAGGGTTACTGTTACCGTTCTAGGAATGGCAACCACAGGAAGTGGCAAACCAGATAAATATGATATCCAATTCACTCGCACACTTGTTACATAGTCCCCTGCAACTGCGCAACATTTTCCGCGTCTGTTATCCCATTGCTTGACGCCAGAAAGGACGAATTCCCGCAGATTTTGGCGACACCGATTGGTAACTCGTGTGTCTGCATATTGGCTGTCGATTAAAAATGGCCGGCGGTCTGCCAATTGACTGTAAAGAGCCAGAAATCTGATGGCGCGAGATTTCTTGCCCATTTGTCAGGGTGGGGTAGAAGGCAGTTTGCCTCCATAGCAATGTGGCCCTATATGCGGTCGGGCATTGTCCATGTGCAGTAACGCTCCTTGCATATCAAATCAGGTTGTTCTCTCTTCAATGCTGGGTGAAATTAAGAGTTCCACACAAGAGGTTATTAGACTTGTCTCTTTCCAACACTGAAGCGGAAGACTGCCAGCCATTTTCAATCGATAGATGATACGTGGGCAGAAGTTAAAAAACATTGTTGTCACCTACAATCGAAGGGATTCGTCCTCTCTGGACTCAAGGAGTGGGGGACTAGATGGGGAAAATGCTGCGCAGTTGGAGGGGACTATGTAGAGAGAGCATGTGGACAAGTATCTATGTATCTGCTTTCCATCTTTCTACGGTGGCAATTCCCAGCACTTTATTAGCAACGAATGTACTTCTCCAGGCACAAAAAAAATTGAAGCAACAATGATAAATTTGGTGAAAATTGGCTAATAAAACATCAGAGTGCATCCGTGATAATTAACCAGGAGATTCTAAACTAAAAAGAAGCTATTATCAGTGGCGATATTAAGCCTTCAGGCAAGCGTAGGGTAACTAGGGGTCTCAGTGTTACCGGCACTGTACCGGTGTTTTTGCGATGTCCCGGTTTGGAAAGGGTCCCGGTTTCTGTCACGTCTCCCAGAAAAAATGTCCCGGCGTCCCGTTTTTCAGACCTAGCAGCTTAACATTGATGACGCTCTTTCACAGTCAACTGCAGCCCTTTCTCAGCATAAGCCCTTCTCTTCCCCCCCCCCCCTCCCTTGCTCCTTCGTTCAGCATAACTCCCGTCTTTGTCCTTTGATAGATTTTTCAGCCGGAAGTGGCAGGGGAATGCGCTCTTATCAGATTTTTATAGTTCCAGTTTTTCAGCCCGCAAGGTGGACCTTAGAAGTCAGTGGATAAACATTTTCCCGGTTTTTGACGCAATAAATATGTTTACCTTTGGATGGCGGTTTTTTTTCCTTTGACATCTTGTCTGCCAGATTGCACTGGACCATATATCTACATCAGATGCTATTAGATGACCTGATGTACCCTATCAATTCTTCATGGAGCTCTGCTAGGTATGGTTCTTGCAGCATGAGGAGATGCACTTGACAGTTTCATGAGTTCCAGTCATGCTTAGAACATAGGAAGAGAGATGAACATTCAACCTGAGATGAGTTATTTCTTGTATGCATGTAGAAAATTCTCGTTCTTTACTGCCCGAAACTGGGGCTTCACAAAGAATTCTTACAAACATCAAGGCCCATTATAGGTTCTATGTGCATGAAAATTATATATATGTAATCATGTATAACGATTTAGCTCGAATGATTAGGCCTTTGCATGATTTAAAGTATTATGAAGTTCAGTTTGGTGAAGCTGCCTTCATGGAAAACGGAACTGACAATCTAGCATATGACTGTTAATAGAGTGTGATTTGAACCTACTTGGAGAATAAGACTATTTTTGGGTGTATTTGCTTTAATTTGAGTTCATACATACAGAATATTGGGGAGCAGATAAGGAGTAATTGGTCTTTTGGTATCCAGGCTCCTCTTTTGTTGGTTCCTCATCTTGTCTCTCTCCATGAAGAAACTTCACTTGAAACTTGTGCATGTGAGCAACTTTTAATATAGATCTGACAAATTATGATAAATATATATGAGATGGTGATATATATCTGATTTATGCACTAATTAACAATAAATGGCCATTCAGACCATATCAGTGATCTTAGGCTAATTAATATATTAGTACATATATTTTTGGGCATATACAGGTGGCCACAAAAACGGTACCCGTGCAATTTAATAATCCCTCATTATTATTTCAAATGACACGTTCGTTGGTCACATTTTTCTTCACATGATGCATGATAACTATGGAAAGTTTCAGGTGGATATCTTTAATGTCAATAATTTGATTGAGGTTAGAGCACACGCTCCAGATGTCGGCCTCTGCGCTGCAGGCACACTTGGATGCGACTTGATGTTGAATGGGTACCGCACCCACCAGATCTGTCACCGCAAGATTTATATCTTTGGGGCTATCTTAAGGACAACGTCTGCCGAGGAAGGCCGCAATCCATAGATGATCTCAAAATAGCAATAACTGACAAAATCCGTTTAGTCACTGCAGCCGAATGTGTCAGAGTAATAAACAATTTTGTCCGTCGCATCCAAGTGTGCCTGCAGCGCAGAGGTCGACATCTGGAGCATGTGCTCTAACCTCAATTAAATGATTGACATTAAATATATCCATCTGAAACTTTCCTTAGTTATCATGCATAATGTGGAGCAAATGTGCACCAAAGAACGTGTCATTTGAAATAAAAAATAAAGGAGGGATTATTAAATTGTATGGGTACCATTTTTTTGTGGTCATCCATATATACGCAAAATGTATGGAGGTATAAACATAGGATGTCCATCCGCAGCAGACCCCTAGCCTAAGTGGACTGAAGCAACTGAAGAACTGCGAAGAAGCCACAAAAAAAAAGAGAAAGAAAGCGAAATTAGCCTGAAGTGCCACCAAGCCGTGCAGGAGTCTCGTCAGGGGCACGACCCTGCCATCAGCTTACATCAGCTTGTGGTGCAGCTTGACCCTTTTCGACATCTCCGCACTAGGAATGAAAAATATTAAGAAGAGGAACAGTCTCTGCCCGAACAGAGAGCAGATGAGGGCGTCCACAGCTTAAGTCTCTCTCACATTCACCACAAAATCACAAATCATTACCTGATTAAGGTTCGGATGAATTTAAAACAGGAGATCCAGGCACAAATACAAAAGCAGTAGAAGTCGTAAATCCGACAAGACTCCAAAACAATATTTGGCAACAGTGGGGATGAGACTGGAGCCCGCACTTCAAGTCCTAATGAACGTCAACTGGTTCTGGTCTCGTCTCGTATGTCTAAGTTCCTTATTATCTATCATTCCCATTGATATTATGGAGAAATGACAGATATTGTTGTCTGTTATTCCCATAGGTACAATGGGGAAAGGGCAAATATTGCGATCCGTCAGTCATTTTTTTCCATTCCGTCTGTCTGTAGTAACCACAGCGAGCGGACAATACGACTCAGTGCGCATGCGCAGCTTTCCGCGTGGATCGGGGTGCCAGTGTACGGCTAAAGCTTTCACTTCCCTTCCAGCCCTCGAGGATGACTGATCCATAGTAGACAAAGAGGGAAAAGCTGCTCATGGTAGCGTAGGCAGGGTTGCTGGGCGTACGCGTTAAATGCCGCATTTGACATCATAAACTTGATACTCTTTTTCCCATCTCAACGCCACCAGGATGTGCGAATCACTGAGAACATCGACTTGTTGCCTGACGCTTTTCATGTAGTCGTTGTTTCATTCGTCTGGAAAAACTTTTTACCTTTGTGTGAGTGTTTACTTCGTGTGAGTATATACGAGGGTGTTAACAAAGTTCTGGGAATTTTGTTCTATCACTGCAACGGCTGATCAAAGCCTACCGCACAGTTGGTCATACATGCTTAGGCTTGTCATGAACACGACTGCAAAATATTATTCACTGAGCATGCGTCAGTAAGAAATGGTCGGTGTTCGCGTAGGGTACCCTTTCTCAGATGCGGTAAATTCTAAAAGAGCTATCATTTTCCTTTTATGGAAGGAAGGTGTTAGGACGGCTGAAATTATTAAACGTTTGAAAGCTGTTTTTGGTGAATCTCCTGACTCCAAAAGTACCGTCAATCGCTGAATCGATCGCTTGGAAGGAGCCTTGAAGATGACCCCCGCAGTGGTCGACCGAACACTACCGTTAACGAAGAAAATGTCGCCGCTGTGGAAAAAATGTTAATGGAAGACAGACGAATCACCATTCGCGAGACTGCAGCAAGTGTATGCATCAGTTCCAGAAAAGTTCATGAAATTTTACACGACCGTCTCGGAGTGAGCAACATTTCTGCACGATGGGTACCGCGGATGTTGGGGCCAGAACAGAAATTCGATCGCATGGAGGCTTGGCCCAAGTTGCTGGCTCTTTAGGAAAATGTAGCAATGTGAAAACCAATTTTCAATGGTTATAGGGGAAAACAACGAAACTCGAACTATTTTCCCGCCTAGTTATCAAAGCCAGTGTTTCTCTTAGCCCATAAGGGCCAACCCTGGGGACGACCATTTTGTTTCGCCCCTCTCTAAAACTACCTGTTTTCAAGGGCCAAGTTATGGTAGGAATAAATCTTCAGTAACAGAAACTGGATGAGCATGGCCCCTCCAAATGGGACATGTCATTATCGTACGTGCTGCGTCTTGAGTCGAACGGATGCGTTCCGTGACTCGAATGCGGAATACCTCCCTTTCACTCCGTAATCTGTACAGCCAGCATCAGCTATCATAGTGACTAATGTATGCTGGATCTGTTCACACATTTTGCTACCCCTTTTTGTTTCCGTAAGAGAAAATCAAACATAAAAGGATTAAAAAAAAATTTTTTCTTGAATATTGAATATGAATATCTGCATCTTCATTTCTCCATTTACCTGGCCCATATGGAAGTCATTTGGAATTCTGACTAGCTTTTTTCTCATTTTAGGCCCAGAGTTCCTAACTTTATGCACCTCGAGTCGAGCAAAGCTAGCTTTATTGTTTGAATTACAGGAAGACGGACACCCTAGGAGAAAGTACTACATGCATTTTCAGGCACTTATCTCGTCGGAAACAACACGTCATATCTTAGTCTGACTGGAAATTGGCGCACTAAATGAACAAAGGCTCTTACAGCGAAACAGTTATAACAGTTATACATTTCACTATCCTGCTTTCCAACCTCACAATAGGAGTGGGCCGTGAGCAGACAAATTGTCGCCGGACAAAATGTCGCGGACAATATGTTGTGGACAAAATGTCGCCAGGACAAAATGTCACGGCTGAGAAAATGGTGGTTCTGGTGTGATATGGTTGGAGGTTGAACTGGGATAAGTATAGGGAGAAAGTTTGCTTCAGGAAAAAGCCGAATAAGAAGTACAAGGTAATATTCATTCAAAATAAGAAATCACATGAAGATATTCACAAAGTCCAAAAAAGGGGGAATCACATGACAGATAAAGTTCAGTCACAGGACATTAATGTTGACAACGCGTCCAACGTCAAACAAAAATTGTACAATATCCCGATTTGCAAAGTCAGCGACCATTGTACGGAGAGCCTCATTAATTTGTTGATACTTCTTCCGTTTCTTCGGAGGTGGTAGTCCCATTTCAT